CGATGATAACGTGATCAGGCCACCCCACCCCTCCYGTCTACACCAGTCTACACCCATCAGTTCCAACGTGTCCACCTCTTGAACTCACCCCACCCACTTGTTCCCCCAGTGAGCGTGCTCATCAGTGCCGAGAGCTGTCGTCTGACCTTTCCATGGTGTGGAATGATTTGCTGTGTCACGTTGTGACACAGAGAGTGTCCCCCAAACCTACCAATCCTCACTGAACTCAGGGCCGGGACTCACTCCCTGGGACGGCTGCTGCGYGGGAAATGGCCGAGTCCAGCTGGAGCTTGCGATAAAGACTCCTGTGTGATGGCAGCCATTCGGCTCCTGGAGGTCTGTGGGCCCAGGAATCTGGCCTCACAATGCTCCCTCCAAAGGCCCCAGCGCCTCTCCACTCCRGGGAGCAGCCAGCGGGTCAGAGGTCAGCAGGTCAGAGGTCAGCAGGGGCCGGGATTTTGAGGACACAGAGGTCCTGGCCTGTTCCTGGAGCCGCCACCAGGGAGGAGGAGCCTGGCTTCCAGGATGACAGAGGCGTCCCCTTCCTGGCCCCGCAGACTGCAGTGTGCTGCTCCCCCGCCCCCCACCCAGGACACTCCCCTGGCCCCAGCTCAGACCCCCGCCCCCACTCAGGGAGCTGTCCCCTCCCCCCCACAGCAACCAGCTTCTCCTCCCCCCTCCAGGGACCCCTTCCGGGTCCTACTGACAGGAAACTGCCAGGGGCCCCCCTCCCCTGCTTAGAGCACAGCCCCTGGGGACAGAGACCCTCCCAGCACCTGGCTCTGGACGCCCAGGCTGAGCGGGGTACACAAGGCAGGGGGCGGGGTACACAAGGCAGAGGGTGGGGTACAAAGGGCAGGGGGCGGGGCGGGGGCCGGCCCACCCAGCAAGTCCACCCAGCAGAGAGAAGGCCCTGGGGTAGCAGCAGGCTGCAGCTGGGCTTCCGTCCTGGCTGCCTGCTCTCCTGGGGCACTGTGCAGAGGGAGGGAGGCCACACACAGGGGGGCTTCACAGTGGGGGCTGTGAAGAGCCAGCCGAGTGCTCCCAGCTCCCAGGGAGTGTCAGGGCCGAGCCAGGCCTCTGGGTGTGCAGAGGACAGGTGCCCAGGGCTCCCAGGGAGTCTCAGGGCCGAGCCAGGCCTCWGGGTGTGCAGAGGACAGGTGCCCAGCGCTCCCAGGGAGTGTCAGGGCCGAGCCAGGCCTCAGGGTGTGCAGAGGACAGGTGCCCCGCGCTCCCAGGGAGTCTTAGGGAGGGACCAGGGCCAGCCAGGTCTCAGGGCGAGCCGGGGTGTGCTGTGACAACACCCCTGAGGCCTGGGGGTTTAAAAAGAGGACAGACCCACTTCTTCCAGTTCTGAGGCTGTCCACAGCCTGAAGTCCAAGAGGACTCTCAGTCCCCAGAGGCGCTCTCTGGCCCCACGTGGCCTGGCGCCTCACTCACCACGTGCTCCCACCCGGGGGCAGAGCGCTGCGGGCTCACTGGGCAGCGGAGAGGAAGGCCGGAGCCGCTCCGTGGGGTGGGGCCCTCTGTGAAGCCAGCCCAGATCCCACCCAGGGGCTGCCCCTCAGGACCTGGCCCTCCCCTCAGGGCCCCCCTCTTACCCCACGCTGTGCCTTCACATGCACCAGGTCTGGGGCACAGTCAGACCACGCAGTGCACAGTAGGGATGGCAGTGCTCCCGTCGAGGGCCAAGCAGGACATGAAGAGGACTGACCCCCACTGACCAATCCCCACTGTCTGCTCCCCCCTCAGCTCTGTGCTCTGCAGAGGGCGGCTGTGGGCAGCGGACGGGAGAGCGCCGAGGTGAGGGCTGGTGCAGCGCGCAGTCCACAGCCCCAGGAGGCCCTGCGTGGCACAGCGCCCAGCCTGCCCTGGAGGGAGCAGAGCGCTGCGGCCCGGGGAGGGCACTCAGGACCTGGGCACCTGTCCCACCCCTCCCCAGGCCCAGACGCCACTCTCCATGACAACATGGGAGAGGGCCAGGGCCCTGCACTGCCCGGCACCAGGTCCTCTGCCCTCTGCTCAGGGTCCGGCCAGCAGAGTGAGCAGAGCCKGGGGCTGCCTGGGGCGTGGCTAGGGGCTCGGCTGCGGGGAGACCTGGGCGTGGCTGTGGCTGAGCAGGGCTCCTGTCCCTGGGAGGTCCAGCACACAATCTCCAGTTAAGGGGCACACTGACCGACAGCCTCCACCCACAGACCCTCGGCATCCCAGCCAGGCGTCCAGGCCAGCAGGACGAGGGGTGCGCGCACAGTCCCAGCAGAGCACAGGCAGGGAAGGCAGGGGAGGCCGGGGAGGCCGGGGAGGCCGGGGAGGCCGGGGAGGCAGGGGAGGCCGGGGAGGCCGGGGAGGCCGGGGAGGCAGGGGAGGCAGGGGAGGCAGGGGAGGCCGCGCTGCACGGGCAAGACCCAGGCTCCCGCTGCGCACAGTAGCTGCTTCCTCAACCCCGAGAGAAGGTAGGCCAAGGGACACGGTCTCCACTGACCCTTAGCCATCTACGGGGAAAGACGACCTGGACACGAGAACCCGAAAAGAGGGGGCACTGCAGCCCACAGCAAGGGAGAGCTAGAGAGGGGCCGTCTGCTGGGGTGACCCCAGGAAGTGCATGCCCTTCAGGAAGGGCACGTCCCAGGCACTGAGCAGAACTGAGCAGGCCCCGAGAGTGAGGAGACTCGGCAGGGATCCTCACAGCGACCTCCAGTCCCAGCCTCCAGTCCCAGCCTCCAGTCCCAGCCTCCAGTCCCAGCCTCCTGGGCCACGGGGAACCCCACCCACCGAGCAGTAAGAAGCGCAGGCCACACCCCTGATGAGAGGAGGTGGAGGTCAGGTTCCAGAGCAGATCCAGAGAGTCAGGTGCCACGCACAAGAGGGGCTCTCTCAACACAGGAAGAGCAGGGGACGGCGCACACGGTCATCCCACGGGGGCAGGCCAGGCACCTGGAGAGGCACACGGTCATCCCACGGGGGCAGGCCAGGCACCTGGAGAGGCACACGGTCATCCCACGGGGGCAGGCCAGGCACCTGGAGAGGCCAAGCACGGAGAAGAGCAAGCAGCTTCCCAGAGCAGACGCTCACAGTCCAGCAAGGGGCCGGAGCCTTCCCCCAGGCCTGGGCAGCACAGGAGGCCCCCAGCACGGCAGGTCTCGCTCGAGCAACGGGACAGGGAGGAACACGGGAACCCACCCCGGAGCAGAGGCCAGAGCCCTGTTCACAGGTGAGATGGCGGTGGGCACGGAGAGACTCGCAGGGGGACACCTGGGCACACCAGACTGCTAAAGCAGACCCCCTCAGAGGAGCTGCAGGACACAAAGCCAACAACATGAGCCACTCTCTGCACAGGACCCCCAACAGTTCCAGAGGAGGTCACTGAATCCAGGCGCTCAGGTGGCCTGAAGAACACGGCACTCGGGGGGGACGAGCCCCTGGGGCTGATGGGCCTGTGCACCCCGACCCCAGAACGGCAGCAGGAGATCAAGGGGCRCCCACAGACCACGCAAACGCCACTGCAGCCGACGTGCTCACAGYGAGGACAGCCCAGGCTCAGAGCAGCACTCTTCAGAGGCCGGGAAGCAGGAGCACACCCCGAGCCCCCGAGAGGCGAGGAAAGGAGAAGCGGCCGGCACACGGGGGAACACCGCTCCGCCTCATGGAGGACAGGCGTCCCGTGCTCCAACGTGGTGCTCCCAGGACGTGGTGCTCCCAGGACGTGGTGCTCCCAGGGCGTGGTGCTCAGTGAGACTGGCCCATTGGAGGATCGACCTTGCAGGATTCCACCGAGCACCAGTGCCCAGAGGGGCCAAGCTCCCAGAAGCAGCGGCAGGGGGCTGGCTGCAGAGCCGAGGGGGCGGTGTCAGAGCTGCAAGGTGAAGGCCCTGCAGACCCGCGAGGTGGCAACCGAGTCCAGGTTAACCACTCACCCGCGGCAGTGGCGAGGCGCCCGTGAGGCCGTGCCGTGTGAACCCCAAGGTAAAACACGACTGTTCACTGTCCAGATGGGTCCCCTCAAGACTCGCCAGGACGACTTCATGCACAAATGGTACAGGGAGGTCAAGATGCAGAGAAGCAGGATCACACAAGTCAGAGCGCGCCTCCGCGACGGCACGATTCCCTGACACAGCTGCAGGTCCACGGTGWCCTGGTGGCTGCAGATCCTCTCCCCTGGCCCCAGGAGTCTTAGAGAGCAGCCCCTCTTCACCCAGAGGAGTCAGAGCCCATTTCCTGGCCTGTAATCAGGAACGTCCCTGCCCTTGTGTCTTTAGCAGGCGATCCAGGGCCCACCGGACCCCAGTTAACAGGCCCAAGGGAACTGGACTCAGGCCAAGCAGCAGCCTGAGCTGGGGCGGGGAGGAGGGCGGCTCAGGGGRGCACTCCCCAGCCCACGCAGGCCCTGGGTCCATCCCCAGCACCCCTCCAGAAACTATTAAGAATTTAAGGGCTACCTGACAGGCGTACAAACACGGTGAAATAAAAATGAATTAGGGCTTTAACTTTTTGAAAATTAAGCCTCTTTGGAGAGATTTAGCTGCTTATCGCACCGTTAAAAGTTTGAATAGTTGCTGAAATATTAATCCTCTATCTGATTTTGCAAAGACAAAGGCAAAGCCACTGCTGGCGCTCGACTCTGGAGTCATTCCAAGAGGAACACAGSCGCTAGAGAAGACCGACAAAGAGCTGGGGGGGGACTCGGGGTACAGCGCCGGCCTCGCATGAGCAAGGCCCTGGGTTGGATTCCCAGCACGGCAGGAAAGAAAAAAAAAGGTAGGACATTGATAAACACAAAACCCAGGTGTGTTTGGACCTAGACATCTGTGAAACTGACGCACGTGGTATCAAGCAGCCCCCGAGAGAACACCGCGTCACCACACCCCACGGTGTCCCCCCACTCTCTGTGGTCCCGAGACTGCACGGGACACAGAAAGGCCAGCCCAGCGTGCAGACCTCGGAGCGAGTCCCCARGTCGGTGGCGGGTTCCCACCGTGGCCCTGAAGCCGGGAGACACGTACCTGGCATGAGCTGGGCGGTGGGGAACAGCCCCTGGAGCTTGGCCTGGCTCTCGTCCACCAGCTCCTCTTTGGACATGGGCAGCTGCAGGACGTCGATGATGATCTGAGCCGCTTCCAGGGCCGTCTTGCCCATGACCAGCGACTTGACGTCCCAGCTGTAGTCCTTCTCGTAGCGGCCACAGATCTCCTGGAACACCACGGAGTACAGCCGCTCGGTATCTGCAGAGGCGGGGAGATGCAGAGTTCTAGTGCACAGACACACTGACAGGAAGTGGMAGACAGACACCACGCAGGCCTCGCTCTGTGCCAGAGGCTTCCGGGGACGCCCAGGCAAACGGTGGAGATGGCTGAAGGTCACTGCCATGGAGGGTGCCGGACGCAGCCGGCCTTGCAGKGCTTTGGACCCCCTGGGCAAGGTCCCAGTGTGGCTTGGGGACCCGCACTCCATCCCACAGCTCTACCTGGCATTCCCAAGTATGCYAGGATGGCACCACGCATGGTCAGGCGTGAGGTCCACACCGTCAGGGACTTGTCGCACTGTCCCCTGGACGGACTCCTCGTCACGAGGCACCTGGCCATGGACGCTGCCACAGCCTTCCAGGTGAGAAGGGAACACCCACAGGGTGTGTCCTGGCATGGGGACAGTGGCTGAGCACTGAACCCCAGCTCTGAGGAGGGGCCTCGTGGATGTCCGCTGTCCGGGGACACCGATGCAGATGCGTAGGAAGCTCTGGAAAGACGTGGGCTCCTGTGTCTGCGCCCCCCGGGAACTGCCCCAGTCGGCTCTGGAAGTTGTCCGAGTGCGAGATGCTAACAACTGAGAGTCTCTGCAGCTCTGAACCCCAACATGCTCYCCTCCCAGATGCCCAGGCCGCCAGCTGCACGGGGGGCCTCGTCTCCCGAGGCTGGCCACCGTGGGGCCGGCTGCTGCACTCCCCCTGGCACCTGCCTCACGAGGGGAGGGACACCTTGAGAACATGGGTCCCAGCAGTGTGACCCTGACCCCTGGTGACAGCCCAAGGCACCCGAGGCAGGGAGCAGCTCTCCTGCACGGGCCACCGCTCCACCACCAGGGATCTTTTTKGGGGGGGGTTACCGGGGGTTGAACTCGGGGCCCTGGCCCCAAGCCCCGTCCCCAGCCCTGTGTTGTGGCATCTTATTTGCAGACGGGGCCCCAGCTGCTCAGGGCTCCCTGTTCCTGGGGCTCCACCTGTGCCTGTGCCGGCTGCACTGGGGTCTGCTCCGCACGGTGCTGGGGGCTTGTGGTCGGCCTCAGGGTCCCCGCAGGCCACCCCGCAGGCCGCCCTCCTGGCCCAGGGCTTGCTGCCCTCCCTCTGGGAACGCTGTACCCCTCCTGACGGGGCAATGGCAGCCCCCGCTCCTGCGTGGGGCAGCACAGGTGGCTGGTGGGGGCTCGGCTCCTGCCCGGGCTTCAGGGTGGGCCGCGGCCCTGCCCGCCCCCTGCCCGCCTGCCGCCCTGTGTGGCAGGCAGCCTCCCTGCTCCTGGGACCCTGGGCAGGCAGCAGGACAAGAAGAGCTCCCGTCTGTCCCTTCTCTGCTCGGTGGCAAGGCCGCCCACAGGTGGGTGAGACGGGGTGTGGTGTCCGCCCGCAGAGGGACGGCTCCTCTGCTGCGGCCGACTTCCACCAGACTCTCCAAAGGCAGAGAGAAGCCCGCGCCTCCGCCCCCGGGGTTGGAAATGGTGAGGCTGGGTCCCAGGTCCGAGCGGAGGCCCTCTTCTGGGTACAAAGACAACAGGATTCTAAGAGGAGTCCTCCGGGGGCTCCGTGGCTGGTGGCTGCTCAGGACGGCGTCCTTGGGTAAGGAGGGGAGTGGCCGGAGACTCCTGGACGGGCTGCTTCAGCTCTCCACAGCCCAGGACAGGGGCGGCCGCCGTCCTCGGGGGCCRGGCAGGAAGGGGCTTCTCAAAGGAAGTGGCGCACCATGGCTCCTCTCCTCCTCTCCTCCTCCACGCTGCGTGGGCACAGGGCCAGGGGCCAGGGCTCCTGGGCAAGGAGATGGACGTCGGGCTTTCCCAGGGCTGCCCACCTGCTCTGCGGCGGGAAGCAGCAAGAGTGACAGGGACGGAGAGGAGAGCCCCGGGGAGGCCCAGGCACAGCCCAAGCCCCGGCCAGGGCCAGGGCGAGCTCGGGGCGGGAGGGAGCGCGAGGAAAGCGACTCCAAAGCCAGACAACTCTGCCTCCTTTCAAGACGGTTCAGACAGTGTTTGCTCAGAGCTTAGAGCGTCACCGAGCTTTTAATTTAAAACACACGGAGCTGGAGAATTGTCAGTCTGTCGGGGACTGCGCAGACAGCCACTTTCCCCACAATTTAGATAAAATCACCCAAATCCTTGCAGAATAGGGACGGATCTAAACGAGTAATTAAATTCCTCAGATCAAATGATCCGACAAGCTCACGACAGCGTCCTGAAAATTAAAGGTACAGCGCTTTCCAAGAACCCAGGGGTTAAGGTGCAAGCACGCCTGCCAGGTACCCCACGTGTTCCCCAGCCCACGGAGGAGCCTCACCCTCCCGCCATCTCCACCAGGAAACCCCCTTGGTTTTCAACCTGCGGAAACTAGGGACCCAGGAGCTGCCTCAGGCGACGCCGACCTCACCCAGAGGAGCGCCAGGCAGCACCCGCAGGTACTGAATGGAGCAAGCAGGAGAGGAAGGGGCAGGTAGGAGGCGGGGGCCTCAGAGGCTGGCACCGTGAGCCCCAGTGGCTGGCAAGCTCCCAGGAGGGAGGACACTGCACTCCTGTTCCCATTCACAACAGGGCTGCAGGAGGAGCCCTGCCCTGGGGGAGGCGGAGCCCGTGGCCCCCCAGTGCCTGGAGCAGGCCCAGGGTCTGCAGCCGCAGGACAGTTCCGTAAGGCCGCCTCTGCACGCGGCTCCAACCATCTGTGGTTCCAGCAGCCAGAGAGAGGACACCAGGAAAGCAGCCCTGAGCCCTGCGCAGCAGCACGGACGTGGCCCCTTGCCATCACCCCGCCCCCGCAGACAGCGGGACGACCATGGACATAGCATCACATCCTGTTCACTAGGGGACAGGCCACAGGAGGAGACTGAGGGTTAGGGAGCAGGGTGTGGGTTCCGGGCAGCCGCTGCTCGCTCGCTGGCATGCACGGGGCATCGGGTGAGCAGCCCTGGACTGTGGTGTCACTGGGCGTCCACAGATGCCAAGGGAGACTTACGCGGAGCAAACCCAAGAGCTGGCCGACGCTGCACTGCTACCAAAGCCAGCCACGGTACGACACTGCAGTCACGGTGCTGTGTCCCTTCTGTAGGCCACTTTTAACCAGCACACACAGAYGGCAAGGGGCACTGCTGCGTAGGTTCAAATGCACCTCCAGGAATCTCGCTCAGCTCCGAGTCTACTACCTGCCTCCTTTACCCCCGCCCCGTCCCTGCACGTGTGGTCCCTGGGCCAGCGGTCAGCGCCCGTGAGAAGCTGTGTCCAGAGCAGAGCCCCGGGCCACACCAGCGAGCCACAGAATGGGAGACGGGGTCGGTGCAGAGATGGGTGCCACCAGCGCTCCAGGGGAGGCCCCCTGCCCCCATCTGACTCACACCCTCACGTGGTGGGAACGCACACTTCATAACTAAGGAATCTTAGTAGGCCCCACGATTCCCAAGGTCACCCCAGCAAACGATTCCAATCAGTGGGGGCCCTCCGATTCCAATCAGTGGGGGCCCTCCGTCAACCCAGGTGCAGGAAACCACGTGGCGCCCCATCACGGAGAGGGGAGAGCCGTGAAAATCAACGCACCGCCTTCTCAAACAAGGCCAGGTGCCCCGGCTCTTCTGAAAGGACTCCCCAATAAGCTGGTTTCTCCCCAAGAAATATGCAGCTACAACCAAAGCATCGGCACCTCAGTGGACACGGTGTGTTTAAAGAACTGGTTATGGGTGCATCCGTCTTAGGTGGAAACCAGCCAAAGAGAACACCCCCCTTTATCTAGAGCCTGGATCATCATGTAGGAGACCCCGACTCCTGGCCTGGCTGGGAGACTAGGGGAAGCCTCCGGACTCGCTCTATTTGTGTGGTCACGCACGGCCCCGTTCTCCTCCAGCGAAGGCATTTCCAGCTTYATGACAGCTATTATTGGAAAATAAGAGTCCATTTCCCAAAACCGGCCATTTGGTCAGCAGCAAAGCCACCCAACCCCAAGCCTGGGCTTCCACGCCCCACCAGCCCCTCTGAAGGGGGAGGGCTTCCTCAGCGGGGAGCCCAGGCAGCACATCCTCCTGGACAGCCTGCTCCACAAGGCCCCGCTCTCCTCCAGGAGGTGCAGCAGGGAGGGGGCTGGGAGGGGCACAGCAGGGAGGGGGCTGGGAGGGCCACAGCAGGGAGGGG